CCCTTTTATTGAGCAGAAGCCATTCAAATGAGGCAAGGGGTCAGGTTTCAGGGGGTTGAGTCTAGCTTCTTGATGTCTACTGTCAGCAGGTTGAGTGACATCTAGGAAGGCCACACCCAAAGGCAGAGCAAGAGAAGGGGACACACAAAGGGAGTTCCCATGGAACATTCTATCCTAAACAGCGCAAAGGGGTAGTATTATAAAGGAATAGGTGAGTGTAGCTCAATTCCATGGGTGACACGCCTACATCTGAAGACACGCCCTCAACTTTCTGAACTAGGACATCACCCAAGTCACTAGTAGTGATCAGTCAGAGCCTCTTGCTTCAGGATGGAAGGCGCAGGTCATTCAGAGTGACTTCCCATACATCTGCCTTTATCTGTTACTAAAAGTCAATGGGGAAATTGGCTAAAGTCTTGAAAGACTTTCCAAGTCTATTGCTGTGCCTAATGGTGTCCCTCATTTCTCTGAGACTTTCTTCATCACCCCCCGCCCACCACCACCAGAGATTGAACCCAGGGGCACTTAACCATTCAGCCACATCCCCAAAAAGTATCTGCCTTTTTGTTTTTCATTTTGAGACAAAGTCTCACTAACTTGCTTAGATCCTTGCTAAATTGCCAAGACTGTCTTCAAATTTATGATCCTCCTGCCTCAACCTCCCAAATCGCTGGGATTATATTATGACTTCCTTCATTTTTCTTTGTTCTTTTTCTCTATTCTTTGGCTTGTATAATCTTAATAGATCTGTCTATAAATTAGCTTCTTATTCTGCTAGTTCAAATCTGCTATTGAGCCCCTAATGAAGTTATTTCAGTTATTGCAGTTTTTGGTATTTTCATAATTTCCAGAATTATATTTTCTAGAATTTCTACTTGGTTAATTTTAAAATAATCTTTATCTCTTTACTGAGTCTCTATTTGATGTGACAGCAAATAAATGTCACCCTTACCTTTTACTTTTTTTTTAATACCTTTATTTATTTTTATGTGGTGCTGAGGATCGAACCCAGAGCCTCACATGTACTAGGCAAGTGCTCTACCACTGAGCTACAACCCCACCCTACCTTTTACTTCTTTAATCATATTTTCTTTAGTTCATTGAACATGTTTAGAATAGCTATTTGAATTCCTTTTTTTGTGACAAATCCAACATCTGGTCATTCTCATAAGCTTTTTGTTTTGTTTTCAATGTATGAGTCATAGTTTCCTGTTTCCTTGCCTGCCTGATAATTTCTTTGTTGGAAAAAGGATATTTCAAGGGGGCTGGGGCTGGGGCTGGGGCTCAGTGGTGGTGCACTTGCCTGGCATGTGTGAGGCACTGGATTCGATTCTCAGCACCACATAAAAATAAAAAAATAAATAAATGTCTATCAACAATTAAAAAAATTAAAGGAAAAAAAAAGGATATTTAAGATAATATATGTGACAACTCTCAGTACTGATCTCTCCTCCATGTCCCTGGGACTTGTCAGTATGACAAATAATGCCAGATTTACTATGTTCCTCTTTATGATGGGCATGAAAGTCATACATATTCAGTAAAAATCTTACTTGAAGTTTTGAATTTGGACTTTTTCCTGGGCTAGCCATAGATACTATAATACTCATTTGTGATGCTGGGCAATGACAGAAAGCTGCAGCTCTCAGAAGTCACACAATCAAGAGATCAAACAACTGATACTCTATGGTGAACTGTGTTGCTAAACTATGATATTCAATAAGTTAGATGTATTATATACATTTTCAACTTATGTTTTCAGTTTTCAGTGGGTGTTATGGTTTGGATATAAAATGTCCACCAAAAACTCATATGTGAGACAATCCAAGAAGGTTTGAAGAAATGATTGGGTCATAGCCTTAACCTAATCAGTTAATCAATCCCTGATGAGATTAACTGAATGGTGACTAGAGACTGGTGGAACATTGCTGGAGGAAATGCTTCACTGGGGGCGTGGCTATGGGGTATATATTTTGTATCCGGAGAGTGGAGTCTCTCTCTCTGCTTCTTGATCACCATGTGAGCTGCTTACCTCTGCCACACTCTTCCACCATGATGTTCTGCCTCACCTCAAGTCCTGAGGAATGAAGCCAGCTGTCTATGGATTGAGACCTCTGAAACTGTGAGCCTCCAAATAAACTTCTGCTCTGTAATTGTTCTGCCTGGGTCTTTTAGTCACAGTGGTGAAAAAGCTGACTAAAACAGCGGGTTTATCAAAACATAACCCCATCTTAAATTAAGGAACATCTGTATTTGTTCAGTGATTGGCTGGATTCGATGAAATTCATATCTCACCACTCACATCTAGATGTTAAACGTCATTAATTTCCAGCTGATTGTTTTATTATTTCCAAAGGTACTCAAAATAAATTGCTCCATAGACAAATCCAATTGAAATTTAACCCCTTTGAAGGAATAGTTTATAAGGTCATTGTGTAATATTTGTTCTTACTCTAGGAGAGCTCTTCCCAGCTATCTTAATTTGTTCTTTCCTGAAAGCTAGTTGGCCTACAAGTTTTCTCTACATCCACTGGGGATTGGTTTCAGAACCCCCTGCATGTATCAAAATCCTTGGATGCTCAAATTCCTACTAAGAGATGGTTAGTATTTGCATATAAACTACACACATCTTTTGGTATATTTAAAATAATCTCTGGATTATAATACCTAATATAATGTAAATGCTACATAAATGACTGTTATACTGTATTTTTAGGGAATAATGATAAGGGCGGGGAGCCTGAACATGTCCAGTAAAAACACAATTTCTTTTTCATTTTGGTATGAGGTTGGTTGAATCCATGGACACTTAACTAGTGAATAGAGAGCCTACTGTATCTTGAATCTCTTCCCAATTATCTATTATCATAACCTCTGCTAGATCACTTTTTGGCTTGAACTTTTCCATGTTCTGATGCAAATGAAGTCATTCTTTAGGGAAGAGATAAAGGGCTGTTTTATGGATTGCTTAACCCCCAGGCACAATCTTTGAGCCAAGTCTCTGGATCTGGGGTTAGAAAATAGCAAGCTTCTCTTAGAGTCATGTTTGTGGTCCAAGAGCTTAGGTGGACAAAGGGCAGCAAGCTGAAGTCCTCCCAGCTTCTCTCTTCATGTGAGTACCATTTGAGGAGCTGGGTTAAAGGCAATCAGAATTCCAATATCTTAGCACTCCAGCCCAAGGTGGAGCATCTGTTCCATGAATTGCAGCTGGATGGAAGGGAATCCCTTATCTCTAATCCACACTTTGCCTAACTCATGACTTAGCCTCAGCATCATGTAGCTAGGAAAAGAAAAGGAATAAGAATGCTGACATCCTGTTCCTCTGATGAGTGCTACTGGGAAGCTTTGTGGTTTGGGTTGCAGCAGTCTCGAATCTGTCTTGCAAAATGAGAGGGGGAAGGACAGAGAGGTATTGGTTCATGCAGACAGACTGGTACCACAGTCCAGGACTTTTTCATGGAAAAATTTTCATATAATTTTTTTAGATTGATGTTTATTTGCTATTTGCCTTTAGGGCCATAATTTTCACTAGTTTCACTTAGGGTGGGTCAGCTCTTTATGCTGTCATATCAGTATTAATCTCTTGGTATTATTCTTGTAATTTTCCTGTCAAAAAATAAAAAAAGTTGTGTTAGGAATCAAATCCAGGGCCTTGCACATGCTAATTAGACATTGTGCCATGGAGCTACAACTCCAGCCAAAAATTTAGAAAACTTTAAGGACTGGACATATAATCCAGTGGTAGATAACTTGTCCTGATGTCACAGGAGGTCCTATAGAGGGGTACCCTACTCAGGACACGCGGAAAGTAGAGTTCTTGGCATATGAAATGGACAAGAATTTTGGCACATACCAGAGATATAGATTTATTTGGGAAAGTAGACGTATATAAGAGACAATGTCGGGGGGGGTGGGGGGAGGGAGGGGGAACTTTTGGGGTAAAGTAATAAATACACATTTGAGGTAGTAAACTGGCCATTACTAGAGATATAGCAACATCTTGATATGGGGTATTAATATTTATAGAGGACCCGCAAGGTGGAACACTCCTGTAATCCCAGCTGAAGCAGGAGGATCACAAGTTCAAAACCAGCCTCAGCAATTTAGCGAGGCTTTTAAGCAAAATAAAAAGGAGGGCTAGGGATGTGGCTCAGTGGTAAAGTGCCCCTGAGTTGAATATATATATTTAATAATAATAATATATTTAATTATATATTTAATTAATATATATATCTATAGATAGATTAGATAGATAGATAGATAGATAGATAGATAGATAGATAGATAGATATATTCATGCAGACAGACAGTAGTTAGGGGCTGGCCTACAGGTGGAGCCAGGGCGGAGTGACTCAATTTCCTGCCAGCTTTTCTAGCGCTTGCACATTTCCCTCGAGTTACTTTGTGCAGGCAAGAGCAGGGTTTAAGGGTTAAGCCCCTTAGGTAGAGGACTAAGGACCTGGGCGGGGTTGGTGGGAAAGGCTTGTTTTACTTTTCAAAGGTTTATGGACATTTCCTGCTTTCCCTCAGTTTCTAGGCACTTCTGACAGTGTATCTTTCTTTTTCTGTATTCCCAAGTTCCTATCTCACTAGCATTGGAAATTCCCTGGGCTTGATCCCCCAGCAAATACCCACACGCACTTAAAAAATCCCCCCACCCACCCTTAAAAACAAAACAAAACAATGACAGGGAGTGGGGGGAATAGTTAAAATATCTCAGGGAAGTAGTTATTAGGAATAGATTAAACCATAAAGCACGTTCACTTTTGCCACTTACTATTCCCACACACTGGTAATAACACGAGCAGAGATCATAAAACAAAACTTCGAACATCCAATACGGTTTCACAGAGCACTCAGCTGTTGTAGAACAGGAAAACATTAACAGGAAGCAGCGGTTGACGGTCTCGCTGGTTTTTCAACTCAAAAGGGACTCCTAGGGGTTTCGTGCGTGGGGTCTCTGGACCGCTCAGGGAAACTGTAAGTTGAGACACGTCCAGGGCAAGCCCAGGCTACCGCAGTGGGAGGGCAGGGAAGCGCTACGCCCTATAATCGCCGGCTCCACGTCAGTTTCTAGGCCTCCACGCCGTCAGTGCCTTCCGGTGTCTAGGGGAGTGAAGGCCCAGGGGTCGGAGCGGAGGAAAGCCCAGGCGGGAGCAGGACGGTACGTATCGGTGCTCCCCAGCTGCTCCTGCGCAGGGCCGCAGGCAAGTAGCGCGAGACCCGCAGCACTCGGCGTCGGAGCACACCGGGTTTGCGCGTCAGTGCGCAGCCCGCCAGGGGGCTGCTGGCGGACTGCAGCTTCTGACACTCACCCCTGTAGGGGGCTCAGCAGAAGCCAGGAGCGGGGTGGGCCTTATGCAGGTGATTTAATTCTATGGACTCTTTCCGGTTTGCCCCTTGGGCACTGGCTGGGCGGAGCGCCCCCGCCTCCTCGGCCCCGCTCCCTCTACCCTGCGCTGAAGGTCGCCGGGGTCCCTGATGAGGTCGGGTTTGCTCCGACCGCCTGGACCCACTAAAGAGTGGGACTGCTGGGCCGTCGCAGACCACTCCATATCAGCCTCCAGAGGTGCAAACTGGCCTCAAGCTTTGGTGGCAAGTCCCCAGAGGCTGTAAACTTTGGTTACAATGATCTGGAGAGTTGCTTCTGGGGAGAACTGTCGAAAACATGCGCAGTTCTCCTTTTGAAACTTTGACAAAGGGGACTTTTCCTTTACTCAACCGGAAAGTCTGGCCCAGCGGGAAGTTTTAGTCTTTTTTGCAATAGCGAGGTAAAATGGGTCAGGGTTGTTTTCCAAAGCGGTTTAATGTATGTTTTGGCAACTTACAAGCTTGCCTTGGGAAAGTTGGGAGTGCTAGACTGATAAGAATTTCTTTAAGTCACCCTCCTCCCAAAAAGAAGCTCGTTTCTACCGCTTACTTCCAGACACCTTCAAAACGATAGAGAAATGTAACATCATTTCTAAAAGTTTTCACTTGACTGTGTCGAGATTTGGACGGAGGGCATATTATTTTAATATTAACAACCCAAACTGGTAAAAACAAAGGCCATTGAAAAAGAGTAAATGATTCTAGGGAGCAGGAAGTGAATTCAAAGAGCTGACGCCCTCTAGATTAGTTGACTTTTGAAATTTGTTATTCCACAACAGAAGGTGGAACCAATAGGGGGTAACATACGTAAAGCATTTAGGACGTTGATAAACCGGAATAATCTAAAACTAAGAACAAGATCTGGCGGGATTGACCTGCTTTATGTAAGAGATTTCAGATAAAGAGGGACTGAAGTTTTGTGTCGTTCCCCCCCCCCCCCCCCGTTCAACTCCAGAATATAATTTTTTCAAGACTGTTGTTTGGAAGAGAACTTTGAATGTATTTATCATACAGGAATTCATATCCTCTCCCTCTCCCTCTCCCTCTCCTCCCTCTCCCTCTCCTCCCTCTCCCTCTCCCTCTCCCACACTTGTTTTTCTGGTACCTTTTGGGTCGAATGTCCTGGTGAAATTGTTGTACATTCCGTCTCTAACTGGCCTTTACATTTTAACACCATTACTTGCTAACTTACACCCTTTTCCAAGGTGAATCCAGTTGCCGGTCTGCAGGGACACTTGGTGTCCCCCTTCCCTGGGAGTGTTGCGCAACAGGCATAGGAAGGTCGTGGGCAGTTTTTTGAGCGTTGGCCGGGGGCCCTCAAGGAAGCTGAAACGGATGTAGGTTTGGTCCCCAGGCTGTCCCTGGTTCCACCGCCGTTCCCAGTTGGGTGACATGGGGCCCCAGCAGCTCCCCTTCAGTCTTGGTGACCTTCGGGCATCAGGCAACTTCCCGGAGCTCGGTTTTCGCCCTTTGACCATACTCGGGGAATTTTACAATCTGGGGAGACGTGGGGGATTCCGCAGCCTACATTGGGCGGCGCCTCACATGGCAGGCAGCTTAGAGGAAACTCTCTGGGGCTCTGCGGGCAGTTCCCAAGAAGGCGGCCACTTCTTGATGCATGCAATGCTGGCGTGCAGTTTCTCGTCTGATCGGGAGCATTTCTTAATTTGGTTTTCCCGAGAGTGTCCGAAGAGAGGCCCCTGTGTAGTGGGAAGAGCCGGTGGGTGCCCGGCGTGAATAAACCAAGAACCTTACCACCCCCTACCGACCCTTTCCCTAGGCTGGAGGCGCTGTGGTCTACGGGGAAGTCAGGGCTCTGTCCCTGGACCCAGCAGAAAAGAATTGAGTCTCCCGCTTTCTACCCTTGATCCCTCCCTTGAGACTTCTTGGGGACTTACAGCACTGACTGGTGTAGCCCTTTTAAATCCCAGGAGTGGACTCTGAGAATGGGGGCTTGTACAGCCTCAAGAGCTAATTAAACTCGTGCTATGGATGCAACTGCCTCTTTGCCTTTGATTCAGTATCATTCTACCAAAGTGTATGGAGCTCCTCTAGACCAGGCAGAATTCTAGATATCTAAATTTGTTTCTTGTCTCCATAACCTCACCAGGTGTTGGAGAGACCAAGTAAAGTTACTTAGGTAGACAATCTGGACAAGACTACTACCATACAACAAAGGAGGAAACTTGTGGGTAGGTGATCAGACACTGAAGGCAATTGTGCTCAGGTGCATTCTTGTTTTACTTAGTATAAACCTGTGAGGCAAGAGGCACTGTTATTGTAATATCCTCTTTCTCCTTTGCATTTCACTCCTGTCTTGTTTGGAAGTCTTCACACCCTACCTTCATGAATGTCCTATGTTCTCCTTTCACAAGCTTGGTGGCTACCTTTGCACTTACCACAGCATTGCATTTAACACTTTGCATTGTAATACTTTAAAAACTTTTCAGTCAAATTGTGGTAGAATTACCTTGGTTAAATACCTGTAAAGTAACTAGACTAAGCCCCCCAGGAGTCCATTCCTACAGGTAAGTAGAGGTTGTACTTGAGTGTCTTTTTCAGAAACTTATACACTCAAATACAGTCTTTGAAGTGCTTAATGTGTGTGTGTGTGTGTATATATATACTTATATATATTCAAATATACATATATGGTACTTATATATTTATACAGTACTTATATACTTATATATATTCAGTATTTATTTATATGTTATGTATATAAATAAATGTACATGTATATTATATAAAATATAATAATTATATATGTATAAGTACTTATAGATTTAAATATGCATATTCTATATATATATATATATATATATATATATATATATATATATAATTTTTTGAAATCCCTTATTTTGTATGGTACTGCTTCTCCAAACTGAATTTCCAAACTGGTGCCTGTTCTACTAATATTTCTGCTTTTTCCACATGTAAATTTCCTCCTTCTGTCATCAATGAAAGATTTCTTTTTCTAATTACTACTTTTCTTGGTTTTAAGAATGTGTGTATCTGCAATTCATGTTTGAATTCATTTGCCTGTTTAAATCCCCTGAATCATGGTTTTACTCCCTCTTCAATTCTTGGCTTAGGGGTATAGTTTCTTCTCTGACCATGCACATTTGAAAGAAAAATGACTTTATGCATGTATATACACATTACATGTATGTGTATAAATATGTATATGTGTTCTCAAATCTTCACAGATAAAATTGCTTCTTTTCTACCCATTATACCTTGTCCTGTATTTATGTTCCTTCAATATCTCCATTTCTACCCATTTTGTCTTTATTTAGTCATTAAAATTTTGACTAAAATGAACAGCTTCTTCGTTATTTTCTTCTTATTATTGATATTGGGTTGTCATCTTTGGTAATTCAGTACCTATTACAAGAGACCTAATTCCTACCAATTTATTACCATATTCATCTGAATATTCAAGATTGTGTCTTCTACAGTGAACTCTTCAATTGAATAAAGCAATTCATCATCATTTTTAAATTTTTCAATGTAATTGAAAACTGCTGTTGTACTTACTTGCTCCATGCTGTTTTCCAGGGTAATGATTTATTTTGATCATTTTACTTTACAAATGGGAACCATAGTTTCCTTATCTACTACTTGTGAAATTTTTGAGGTTTTGTTTTTATTTTGTTTTTCTTAAAATGTCCTTTAGCTCTTTTTTGGGCTTATATATCCATTTGTTTCTTTTTTAATTGAAGATTTCAAAGGTAACTTTTAAAGATAGACCTTTGCTTTAAAGAACAGGCACTTGACAGATCTTTTGCTTGAATACCATCTGGTGAGTAGACCAGATTCCTTGCAACAATGACCAAAACTTGACTTGAAGTTGAATTAAAAAAAAAAAATCAATCTGTTCAGCAGTTACTGAGTATTTGCTAGTACTAGGGAATGGAAATACATAAATCTCCCTCTGTTGATTGCAACTCTTTTTCTAGTTGGCAAAGACAAGATGCATCAGCAAAAGTTATGCTGAAAACCGTGGCTGTGGAACAGCATTGAAGCTGAGTTTGACTTTACACTTGACTTGAGTTCTACTCTAATCCATGACTGTGTTATTTTAATTTGGCAGAAAAGTCTGTGTTCTAAGTGCCCTGGTGGACCTGTTAGTGAAATGTAGTAGCACAGGGCGGTTATATATAGCACAAAGCTATACCTCCTGAGAATCAGAATTGAAGCCAGTTGCTATCTGCCTAGGCTTTCTGTAAACAGGTTGGCTATCATTCAGCCAGCTTGTAGAATGAATCTGTTCCTTTAACCTGTGTAATCACCAGAAATGTCAAGGAACTTAGAAGAAAAGATCAACTTAGGGATCAGAACCTAGGGAACAGGTTGTGCACCAGGGATGTACCAGGGATGATGGGATGATGAGACTGAAGCAACTGGAGAATTTTTCTTTTCCACTTGTCTCCATTTTTTTGAGCCATTTTTTATTCCTCAACACCTTGAGGAGGTACACATGGTTGCCTGTAATCCCAGTGACTGGGAAGGATGAGTCAGGAGGATCACAAATTCAAGGTCAGCCTGGGCAACTTAGCAAGATTGTATCAAAATAAAAAGTAAAAAGGACTGAGGATGGAGCTCAGTGGTAGAGTCCCCCTGTTGCAATCTTCAGTACTGGAAAAAAAAAAATCACCTAACAAAAAATCCTTGAGAAAGAACGTGGTTTCTGAGTGTGATCTCATGAGGATATATATCTAGTTCCTCTAAAGGTGACATCAGATGGTGTGGATACCTCAAAAGTGAAGCTTAGCCACAACCCTCCTT